CTCTCTCCCTCTCTCTCTCTCTCCCTCTCTCTCTGCCCTTCCTCGCCGCCTCTCTCCTTCCGGTCCCACCGGCGGCGGCCCGGCCGCCCCTGGCCGCCCCTGGCCGCCCCCAGCCAGCCTCGCCGCCTGCGCGACCCGAGGTGGGCGATGCAGCCATCACATGGACATGACACGCGCGGACAAAGCGCCTCAAAGTGACAAACAGGAGAAATAGAAATGGTGTGGAGGCGCTCGTCTCAAGTTACGATCGATTAGGTTTGGAAGCCCTGGAAAGTTTCCGGAAAATTTACGGAAAATTTCCGGGAAAAAAAAAGAAAAATTCCCTAGATTTTGGAAGTTTTCCGTTATTTTCCGATAATTTTCGGGAAGTTTTCGGAAATTTTCCGGAAAATTTTGGAAATTGTCAACCATACCGTCGATATTTCGATCGGCTTCGACAGACGGCGGGAGGAAACTCCAAAACCTCATCAAAAATTAGGCCATCTAGACGTGGCCACTGCCACTGTGGAGCTCCTGCCCCGGCCTGGCAGGACGGGACAAAATCAGCGGAAGTGTTTAAGCCGTTGTCCGGCCAAACGTCTACTCGCCGTACCCAGAAGTACTGTCGCGCGTACCCTAAACATTCGGGGCCGTTACCTAAAATAAAGTTCGGGTCGTGACTTTTCTAGGGCAGGTGGCTCCACTCACGCCACGCACTTTCGTACAGTTTTACTACTGTACCGCATGCACACGTATTGCCTACTTGCACAGGGCCATCATATGGAGCCGTGAGCAGCGAGGATAGGCAAACCCGCCCGCACCTGTGCATGCGGTACAGTATTACTGCGAAAGTGCGCGGCGTGAGTCAGCCACCTTTGACGCTTTATGAGACCTGGACTACTTTTCCTCTGTCTGCAAAGGCATATGCCATGAACACTCACCCCGGCACCACTCCAGCACGGGGGGAAACTCAGCGTCCGCGTCCGCCCCGTCAGTCCGTGGACTTGACAGCGCAGTGGCGTCCGCGTCCGGTCCGAAGCAGGAGCAGCCCCGCACCGCCCCGACCGAAGGGCCGTGTGTGTTGACCGAACGGCCGGCGTCGAAGGGTTGCGGCCCGTCAGTTGCAGGGGAGGTGCGAACTAGATGTTTGGGAAGATACCGTCGGTGACGGTCGGCGAGGCTAAAAGGGGGGAAGGTAGCCCGAGGGGGTGGGGGGGCTTAACACATCTACCGGACCTAACTTAAACAAGTAAAGGCTAGCCTTCTCTTCCCCATGTATGTCTCAAAACACCGACTCGATCGTCAGACTGATAACGATTACTGAGTGGTCATGACGTCCCCTTAATCAAAATTCAGGCAACAAACGCGTTAATTTTCGACGTCAATCTGATATGTCAAAAAGTGACACGTTCTTGACGCTTTCGACGTGTTTACTGCGGGCTGCGGGCTGTATAGGTAAAGGCACTAAACTCTGGGATAGGAGACGTTGGTGCGAGCTGTGCCGGCCGCCGCGCCCCCCGGCACCAGAGGAGAGGGGCTCACTTAATAGAATCACGTTTCTGACGGGACGGGTGGAGGGCGGAGGGGCGGAGAGGCGGAGGGAG